AGTTACAGTTAACACAGTACAATAAATCCAAGAAGCCTGTAGCTTGCAGATAGCTGTGGGAATGCTGATGTGGCTTGTCAAAACTGTTCCCAGCCTATATTCTGATGCTATGCAATATGATGAAAGCAAGATTAATTTTCTTCACACTAAGCATTGCCCAACTTGAAGCAATAATTATAACAAGGTCACCAGCTTCCCAATGTGAGGGCCTGCGTTTGATTCTTGGTCAGGTCATTTGGAATTTTTGGTGGACAGAGTGGCACTGGGGCTAGTTTCCAAGTACTTTGGTTTCCCCTGCCAATTCTCATTCCCCTAACTGCACCACGTTCACTAATCATTACATCTAACACTTTATATAGTCCCAACACTAATAGTGTTAAATAACAAACTTAAAAAAAACAATAATTCATATAAACATCTTTGAATAACTCCTTCTGAGTGAACAAAATGTTTGTGTATGAATTTAGTTAGTTATGTTAAACACTGGTGTACAATTAAGTGATCAGGTAGATTTACTGTTTGTACATTTGATTAATGGACTTTAGGGTCAAGAGCTGTGTAGGTTATTCATACCAACTTAATCATTCAATGGATTTATTGCTAACATCAACTTTTAAGAAATTAATAGTATGAGACAGTGACAGAATTCCAGTTAACGTAACAGTTCTTCTAAACCAGTATCTGGACAAATGTACAGAAACATGAAATGCTCAGACTTTATATGCATTAATAGGGAAAATAAATGAAGGTAACATGGCCCTTTCTTAATCCCCAGAATATCCCAAATAATATATGAAAAAACATTACCACCTTTCACATTATATCTTCACGGAATGGTAAATGCCAAAATGTTGACTGGTATATAACAAAGAGGTCAAGTAAAAATGGTTAAATTTCTGGATATGAATATCACTGATTTTGCAAACATATGTCATAAGATTAAGCAGTTCTCCTTACTTATTCAGGTCACTGCTAGGCTACATGTTGTCAATTAACTGAATGTGCTGAAAATTGTATATAACATACTGGGCTGATCTGTCATCATATAGCCCTCATCTCACTATTCCATTCCAGTCAGAAAGTAAATGCTTGGACAATACTGTAAAATACTGATATGATGAAATAGGCTGCTCCATCTTGTTCCAGTTAACATCACCTGATATAACTGAGAATGGATTTAGAACATGATGGAATATGTCTTTTTTTTTAATCTAATAGAAAACCACACCTATCATTTTCTTGCCATTTACATATGAATAAATATTTACCCTTCACCCACACTGGTATCTTATTTATTGGGTTCTATCTGAGACTATGACTTCTACAGTAACACTGACAGTTGTTACAGGGCACACATCAAAAGTTTATACAGAATGACTGATTTCCATGAAGAAAACGTCAATCTCTGTCTGCACATCATCTACATACAGTGAATTCCCAGTTATATAGCATCGTGGCATCTGGAATTGTCATCAAGTCAGCAAACGTTTTCCATTTTTATGAAGTTACCACCCAAAAACAAATTTGCCATACACACATTTTCACCCACCATTTGACTGTTCTCTCTGCTACCACTAGCAGCACTACCTATCACCCTCCTTCAGGCAGTTGCCATTACAGTAGAGGTGGTTGAATTTTTATTGTGTTACAGTATCGTCGTCATCATCGTCCTTTAGCTGCCACTGGAGCACAGGGCATTAACAAAGTGTCACCATCTCACACAGTTCTTGCTGAGTTGTTTAATTTCTCCCCATGTCTTCCCAGCAGGCAAGGCTTCCTCTTGTATTGTTCTCTGCCAATTCCTCTTTCCTCTGTCCTTGTGGGTTCCACTCCATAGCCTCCTCTCAACTGCATTTTCCTTTCAAAGAGTGTGGCCAATCCAGTTCCATTTACGTCTGGTTATCTGTTCAGTTATTTTAATTTAATCTGACTGTTCCCATAGTTCATCACTTGTTATTATAATTGGCCATCTCACCTTAACTATTCTATGTAGGCTATGTTACAGTATAGGTATCCAAAATCTTCAGCCTTCAGTTGTCCACCTAGAGGACTCCCACACAGAAACTAAATTGAAAAGTATTGTTTTGATCCTTTCTTGTGTTTCTGTAAACAGTTTTTTCATGCAACCACTACATCCCACTCCCCACATATGCCAGAAAACAGGGAGTTTACTGTAGTTGCCATTTGATACTACTCATTCAATTTGTATATACTATGTGTGCGTGCATCTGTGCATATGCATGTGTGTAGTGGCAATAGACTTATTTTGCAGTTATCCTGTACAGATGAACAAGAATTAATTCAATCACAATTTCATGGGGTATGTATGAATGATACTGTTATTTATTAACTGGTGGCAGATTATTACCCTGTAGCTGTTTAAAATTCAGTGTCATGAGTCCATCTCTATTAAAAGAAATATTAGTTACACAATGAAGTATCAGCACCTGAATAGCAAAAGGTACTTCACAAGGATTTTCCATAATACAGTACTTAATTAGTCAACCATGGGCAGCTTGATCATTTATGCTGTTGGGATCATTTGAATTTGAAGCAGTGTGACTAAGTTTAATTAGTTACTAGGCAATAATTAAACAAACTGCATACAAGATTTGATAGATATTTAACGTTTTATACAAATAATTATTATATTTCTAACCCACAAACAGAGATCAACATCAAGCATCCCCTGTAATAACACCTTCAAGAATTTGCACAACTATAATGTTGTACTTATGTACTGGATAACAGTGGCAAATTTTGGAAGAGGTCAAGATGCCAGCTGTAATCTCTCTTATTTTGTAAAATACAAAATGCATCTCAAAATATGTTTAACATTTACATTCATTATTTAGTTTATCTCCCTTCTGATCATTCTGTCTTAAGTATTACACTGTGTTATTGTGCTGCTGGGTACTCTATTCAGCTGCAGCCACCTGCTCACTGGATCCTCACTCACAGATTTTTTCTTTCTTTTTCCTTCTACTGTGAAGATGGAGGTTTTATGTTCCTCCGAAACATTGGTTTATACAATGTCTACATGGCACCACGTCCCAGAAGACAGCATTCTTCAGTCACTGCCTTGAAAACCTCAAATCTTAAATACTATACCTGATCCCACAGCAAAATAAAGCCATTGAACAAGGGCTCGAACAGATTCAATCAAATATGTATGTCATCACTGCACTCTAATTCCTTCATCTTCTGCAATCATATTTGTCTTAGGTAAATAAAAGTCTGTGACAACCTGATATTCTATCAGTGAAGATGATCACTTTTTTCTGTTATAATTTACCAAAATCTGGCAGTAAAAACATTATAGAGCCACATTTCACCTTTCTTTCAGATAACGAGCCACACTTTTGATTACTTTTCGATACTGATTTTGGCATTTACCGTATGTATTTATATTCTACCTTTTTCTCTTATTCTACTTTTAGAGTTAGTATGGAAATATGAAGAATTTTTATGTTCCTTGAATCCAGTGCATTAGGTGAAGGCATACTGTGGAAGTAATTACTCCTAAATATTACAACAGAAAATAAGCATACACAGAAGTACAATATATCGCCAAATATCTTCCATGCACCTCATTTCACCACCAAAATGAGATTACATGTCACTTCACAGACAGATGATGTGCATCAACGCTGCATCATTTAAAATGGTTAATTTTGGAAACTAATTCAAATCCTTTAAACAACATTCTTGTATCCATATTACTTGAATACTAATTCAGATATATTCATAATATCGTGCCAAATATAATACATCTTTTGACAGGTGATTGGAGAAAGACCACACATTTAAAAAAATTAACACCCAATACAAAAGAACACTAAATTAATACATTCATTTGATTGCTATTGATATAAATGTACTCCATTCCTTTTAATATTCCAGGGTTCATTTGTCCCATTCTGTCAAGATTGGTCTATAAAGTGTCCTACAAGGAATTCAAGTACAGTTATTCCCCAGTTGCAAACACCCTTATAAACCATATCCACATATAGAAAAGCAATAGAGATATGAATGCCCTCATGGAAGCCAAGATGTATACTTAATTGAGCACCATACCATGAGAATGTATGGGAGAATGAATCACTCCACAAGACACTTCATTGTTAGTGACTACTGTAATAAATGAATCACTTATATTTTAATATTGTAGCATCCTGCTGCATATCACTTGTACCAAATGTTACTGGTTCCACCATCTCATGTGCAACATGTCTTTAAAACTTATTACAAGTTATTCACTTTAAAAATGAATTTTTATGAATGCATTCATAAAAAAGACACAACACAACAGGAAGAATAACCTGTCAGCTGGAATAACTGAAGTCATGATAACAAAAGCATAGCAGTTTCCTCAACTATAAATTTAAACACCTGATGATTATCAAATTGGTCGAAACATGTAAATCTTTCATAAATTTTACAGAAAGACGTGTTGCACATGAGAGGGTGGAACCAGTAACATCTGATACTAATCATGTATAATATTTTATCTTTGGAGAAATAAATATTGAGCTTTGAACAATCAAACAAATGGGTTTTCATAAAATATGCCAGTAATTAGGGGAGTTACTGTATGGACCTATTTCCATCTTTTGAATAAATTAAAATTGAAATTCAATATAATCATTGTATTGTTCAGAAAACTGATCAGAGACATTAATACTAATTAACACAGATGCTGAGAACTGGACGTCACAATATAAACAAATACAAATACTTTGAAATAACAATATATGCTCTCATATCACATGGCAACTGTAATTTTTCCAAGAGGTAAATTAAACTGGCAGGAAAGGAATGGAAATGATCACATCACCGCATTATTGCTTTTGAACTAGTATGTAGGAAGATGTTATTTATTTCCTCTGCTAGCATTATTACAATGGATCTTAGAGATATAGGATGGGATGGCATGGATTGGATTGATCTGGCTCAGGATAAGGACCAGTGGAGGGCTCTTGTGAACATGGTAATGAACCTTCGGGTTCCATAAAATGCTGGGAAATTCTTGAGTAGCTGCAGATTTGGCTTCTCCTCAAGAAGGGCTTAGCTCCTTAAGTAAGCAAGCATTCATACTGCAGCAACACATTACTACTAATTAAGTGCACAAAGGACGGAATCCACTGACAACAGTACACCTCTCTGCTTACAGAATACCATATTATTCAAAATGTAACACTTCTGCTAATGATCATTTTAAAGAAAATTACATGTGTCAATACATTTTAATTCCTTTCACAGAAAGAAAAAGTTGCCCATAACCTTCTACTTGTAGTGGACCACTGAATTCTTGGCTTCAGATAAATGACCATTTTCCAAAAACCAATCATAAATGCCTTGTAAGTACACGATTCCATGACAAAAAGACTCCTACGCTGGAGCATGTTCCTGTAGTTCAAATTCTCTTTGAGTTTAAATGCATTTTACTGAATATGTCAAAAATCGGGTTGTCAATTTATCTGTGTGGCATAAGTCCAGAATTTCCAAACATTAAAAAGGTCTAAGATGTTGATTTCTTTAAATTAAAAATGTTAAATGTTCTTTTACATTTAGAACAATGCAGTATGTGGTAAGCATTTTTTATCTACCTTGTCTTGGAACTGTTTCCACTGTTCCAGATTACCACACATTTTGTATGTACTGTTATCATAACTGCTTTTGAATTTAATACTGAATATTGAAATGCTGGTCACTCATGTATGCACAGAAACTGCAAGCTTCTGCTGAAAACAAGAAAATACGTAAATCATACAATGTTATTTATATTCTGTCAAATTTATATATGAACCCGTGTCATTCTTTTATCATGAAGGCAAACATTAAATTGCATTGNTCTTGGATCCATTAAACAAAGCTTAAGTGCCTCCCAGAAGTGAAACAGATGGTAATGGTGGGAGTAAAACCTGTCCTGCCAATAAATTCTCTTTATGAATATACACAGGGCAGTCAAAAAGTTCCCAGAATTCCCCTGCAGACAGAGAATGAGCAATAAGATAGCGCACACACTGTTGTGGTGGGGAGCTCAGCATGTCTGTTCGCATGGGCAACAGGTCTGGACAGGTTTCAGTGTGCAATGTTGTTACTGTTCAGTTTGAATTAGATGTGAGTGTTAGTCATTCGGCGCAATGTCACAGTTCGAACAGCATGTGAACATCAAATTCATGTGCAAATAGGGAAAATCTGATTCAGAGACACAATCGGCCCTGCAGCAAGTTTATGGTGATACTGCACTAAAGAAATCCGCAAGTTTATGACTGGTTTTCCCAGTTTAAGAATGGGCAGGAGACATTAGAGGATGACCAGGGCAGCAGGAGACCTTCAACATCCAGAACCGAAGAAATGAATGGAAAAGTGCGACAACTGATTCAATGTGATCAAGAATGACAATTGCGAAGTTGGAGCAAGAAGTTGGTATCTCTCACAGATCCATTCATGTCATTTTGTCTGATGATTTGAAGATGAGACGCGTCAGTGCGAAGTTTCTTCCAAGGCAGCTGACCACAGATCAGATGGAATGTCGCATGATGGTCGCTGGCTATCTGTTTGAAAAAAGTACGCAGGACCCGACGTTTCTCAAAAATATTGTCACTGGTGATGAGTCATTGGTGTTCGCCTATGACCTGGAGATGAAGATGCAGTCATCGGAGTGGCACACAACGTCATCTCTCCGGCCAAAAAAGTCATGCCTCATCAGATCCAAAGACAAAGTGATGCTCATTGCATTCTTTGATATCGACAGTTTGGTGCACCATGAGTTCGTACCATCTGGACAGACTGTTACTGGCCATTTCTGTACTGCCTGTACATTCAAGTTTTGCAGAGGTTGCGCGATGCTGTTCAGAGGAAGCGGCGTGACAAGCGGCAGGGACAGTGGTTTCTGCATCATGATAACGCACCGAGCCACACATTGCTTGTTGTGCAGCAATCCCTCGCCAAGAGAAACATTCCTGTCATCACTCAACCATCATATTCTCTGGATCTCATTCCGAGTGACCTTTGGCTGTTCCCTACTCTGAAAATGGGCCTCAAGGGGACACATTTCGCAACCATGGAGGACATCAAATCGAATGCGATGGCTGAGCTCTGGAAGATTCCAAAAGAAGCCTTCCACCGCTGCTTCCAACAATGGCAGGATTGATAGAACAAGTGTGTGCACGGGCAAGGGTCCTACTTTGAAGGTGATTAGGTAAGCGTTGCCATATGTCCTACCATTAGAGTGCTATACCACCATTCCGGGAACTTTTTGACTCCCCTTGTAATTTTATCAAGATATTAAACTTTATATTACAGAAACTAACCATATAATAGTATTGGCATATTTTTAAGAAATGTTTATCCTCCTGAATGATATATCCAACATCAAATAATTATTCACACTGTGGTCTTCTGGGTTATGGTACCATGTAATGTTGTATGAATGTTCCACAGAACATACTGCCTCAGTATTCAGGGTGGATGTCACCAGAAATTGGAGGCAGTATGTTTCTCAGAAATGTTGATACCCATCTACCAGATTACATGATGTCATAACGCAGACTGCAATGTGAATGTTCTTTGCCATGAAAACCTCAAGTCTTAAATATTTAATAATTACATTAACAAATTCTATAACATTTGTCTAAACATTTTTTGTGTATTGAGTGTGAAGTAAATATGCAATAAAGTGGATTCATTATTGGTTCTAATCAGTTCTGACATGCAACTGTTAATCAGTGCATTATGCATGAACACAAATGCATCCAGGAGTTAAATTAAGTCAGATACCCTATACTGTCAAATACATTTTAAAGTTATATGCTCATTTCACTGACAATGAGAATTTTCAAATATAAAGACCTGAAATTTTCATATTTTTATACCATCAATGTTTGTGTATTTTTAAACATTTATACTGTAAATCTGAAAATAACAAGTCACAAAATTCAATGGCTGCAGATAGCTTATCTAGATTAGAAACAAAGGAAAATGCATTTACATACTGTAGTCCACTAGTCACTTTATATAGATTATAAATAGGAAATATAATTTTGTAACGCCAAATACTAACTACTAACTCAAGCAGACATTCATGTTACACGGATTCATATACTGTAATATTCTTATTGTATACAATTCTTTTATTAGAGTCCATCACAACACAACAATACAATGGTCAAGGCTAAAATTGTATTGTTGTGTTGTGACAGACTCTAATAACAGAATTGTATATAATAACACAACAGGATGCACGAAATCAAAATTCTTAATGTATACTTCAATCATGTGACCAAATCATTGGCTATGTTCGTTCTTACACTAATACATTATAATGTGAAATGAAAAATTGCCAATAAGGAAATTACACTACCTTTGCACTTACTCCTAATTCACATTTCAAGGTGTGTCAGTATCAATGGATACTTGCACCTACATGAAATTCAAGAAAAGTCAATTACCTGACCTGAGTTAAATACAATTAGCATATTTGTCAGACTGTAAAAGGGACTGATGGACATATTAGAAGTAAAATTCTAAATTTAAACAGGTATGCTAAAATAAGACAATAATGTGTCAGGATAGAAACATGCCTGCAAAGGGTCCTAATATAACAAAATAAGTAAGATGATGCACAAGGACTTCTAAAAACAAAAAAATATGTCAGAGTTGCAACCTCTATACCACTGAGGAACGCTAGAATGTTAGACGTGCTATGGCCATCATCTCTGAGACTACTGCACCCTGTGCTAATATGAAATGTGACAAATTTTTTTATCATAATGAAGATACTATATAAGCATGTGCAAGGCAGTATGGAATACATCATACTGTGTACAAATACGTGACTGGTCACCACACAACACAAATCCATGTTAGGAAAGCATAATTAATGCAACATTAGCAATAATTAATTATTAATTTTTTGTCTAGATAATGTGGGACCCTCAACATCTCACAACCCTATGGGCCTTCACGGCCTCTTACAGGGATAGCTTTACTTTTTACTTTTACTATTTTTGGAATGCACTACTTATGCTCTTAGTGTATACAGAAATCATGATTTCACTCTCTGCCACACATATCACAGCAGAAAATACAAAATTAAATGATCCCTGTCATGCTTATTGTACTAAATCATAACATTTTATGAACAGTTATATTAACCAATTCCAGCACCAGGATGCAATGAATTTAACTGGACTGACTACAGGTTAATGCTTTGAACAAAATGTTAAAGATTCGTGCATAGCTACCTGTAATTGCAGAAAAAATGCATAACTTTAAAAGAAAAGCTGATTCATAAAATAACACAGATTACTTCAATAATTAATAAGAAAATATTTGAGAATTAAGGAGTACCATTTTTGGGACAAGCTCTAGTGACTTGTATGGTGCAGGTGCAGAATGAGAAGTAAAGGGTGTTGTAGAGAATGCTGACAATTCGTCACATATATTAACAGCCTTTTCATTCAGGGTCTACTCTCAAACATCCAGCACTCCATAAGAATATAAATTAAAATGATATACATGCCTTGTATCACTCCCAACCCTAATGTAACTAGTGTACATCAACATGAAACACATGACAAAATAATCCAAGGGGCGAATGGGAGTGAAATTTGCATACATTTAAATTAATTCTGAATCTGAAGCGGTTAGTAAAAAATATTTATCATGTTCTAAAACCTGTCTGAAACATTTATCAACTTTGTGAATACTTGAAAAAATACAAAATTTAATTTTAAGCTTTCAGCTGAAGTTGAATCCCTGATTAACTGAACTAGACCAAAAGTAAAGGTAGCTGATTTGTGAGCTTGCTACAAATCTTTCAGCAGATTGGTGGGAAGGACACATACTACTTATACCACTTGCATCAAATTGCACTGAATGTGTTTGGACTCATGCCATAGTCAACAAGCCAACAGTCTACATACATCACAATTTCTCTCCAATAAATCTATGAACAGTTACTGTGAAGTGAGCTTATGTGTTATGTCCTCCTTGATCACAATCTCAAGCCCCAGCTACTGTATTAAACATTCTGTAGGCTGTGTTACTTCTTGTTTTACAACGCTTGTCAGTTACACATTGAAATGAGTGTTCACGTAGGATAACCATGTGAAAAGTAACATGATTCTGGCACAAAATTCAGGATATTACAGTTCCAAATGGTGGGGAGGGGAGGGGTTAGGAAGACAATAATTCATACAATTGTAAATAAAGTTTGACACACAGGGTCAATGCTTACGAAGGAGAAGGCTGAAACAGGTGCTAGGCTTGAACATTCCCCTTGAAAATCCCTTCAACTTCTTGCAGAGAAGACCTGAGTTTAAAGTTTCCTCTAGTTCCAAAAAGGAACTTCAGTGTATGAATGTAAACACATTATGCAAATACTGGGTACCATTTCTGTCATTGGCTGTGAGGTGGGTGATTTTACTTATGATCTGTTAGCCTGTGGACATTTTGATTGCACTGTGAGTATGAATATACACAAAGAGTCAATGCAAGAAATGTGTGTCCATCCTACTGAACAAGCCAAAAGATTCATGGCAGGCTCACAAATACACTCGCTGTATCATATACATTTATAATGTAGTAGAAAAGAGTTTTCAAGAGACTATTTTGTTAGTGCACAAAGAATGCTGCCAGTGCTACAAACTGTACACATGAAGCAGTGTGTCTCCATAAGTAGGGCACATGTTGTCTCACTGAGATGTTCCACAACTTCTTATTTTAGCCTCCTGATATGATTTGGCAGGTTTCAATAGAATGAGCGACAAGACGAAATTGTAAAAAAGTGTGCAACAGTGAGGAAAAAATAATGAAAATAATACACAAAATAAAAACACATATGGAAGAAAACAGTTCTTCCACAGGAATGACATGTGACATCAGTGTCAATGTATATATCCATTTAATAAGAGAATTTATTTGCTCACGAATTCAAAATTCTGGGCACATTAATCCATGCTAGTCAGTGGAAATTAAAAAAAAATTATAATCAGTTCCCAAGTTTTACTCCTAAAACACTGAAACTTTATATTTACACAAACATCACTTATATTTTTATGCTTGACTTACGGTTAAAATAAATCCTGCATGGGTCAGCAGTAAGTATACTCACATCATCTGAGCTATTATGAGGATCCCACAAATGCCACACATGGCTTGCACCCACCAGCTGCATGCAAGAAGCATCAAGGACTATTACACATAATTACTTCAGCACAAACTTACAACATTCCAAACCTTCCTCCGGGTCTAAAGTTTGGATTTTGTTATTCAGTATACAACAGTTTCATAAAATAAATGAATACAAGAGTTACCTACCATTATTCACTTCAGTCTTAGCTGTACAGAATTCAGAATTTAATGCAAAATCCCATTCTGCCTGCTGTCTAGATATAATTGTCTATTTCAAACAGAAAATTTACCTCACGCAGTCATGAAGTTGTGAACAATGATGACTACCAAAGATCACAAAAGATTTATGCCCAAAGAAATCTTGCTTTATCCATTAAACTACAGAACTGCTTAGCTAGCATAAGCTAATTCATTGTTAATTTATAAAGAGGTAACCTTTCAGGATTGCAAGTTAACTTCCCATCTTCCTCTGAAGTTGGGTCTCCACTCATAACTTGTAACATTAGAAAGGATAAAATAAAAGTCCTTAAGCTTCCAATGCTAGTTAAAAGGCAGAAGGAATTGCCTGTGTACTTTCTGGAATAGACGCGACCTAACTGTGGCTCGCAAACCGCATGCGGCTCATCTGAACTATCAGTGTGGATCATGGGGGAAAAAAAAGGTCCATTAGTCATCCCCATTTTGTGTGTGGATTAATATTAAAAAATGTGCTGCATGGTTAGAACATACCTAACACTAGGCCATCCAATCTAGACTTGTCTGCTGAATTTCTGAAAATTATCATATGAAGCTCCAATGTTCAATAAGAGAATGTATGTTTCAAATGACTGCCGTAACAGTCCATGCAAAGGCTGTAAATGATTGGCATAAAATTCACCACTGTAATAAAACTACTTATAAGATGTAGGTGAAATTAGGATAATATGAAGCTCAATAAAAACTGGGAAGTCTGCCAAATATTTAATATTAAAGTCAGTGATAATGTCTGAAATGTGTAACATTTATGCTATAATTATACAGAAAAGTACTGTACAAAATGAACTCACATGGAGCGCTTCAATGAAGTGTATGGAACATCATCATACAGCTTTGATTTTACAATATTATTAAAAGGACACAAACACGTATAATGTATAAATACTGGGGGGGGATTTATCAAGATGATGTTCCATTATTCCTCCTGATATCAAAAGCTATTACCAGTTTTTAGCAAGACAATTTCCTGACTGTACAATTGTAGACAAAAACCTGTCTCAACAAGAGCCTTCCATCAATTGTTTCACTTCAACTGCTTTTAACTGTTAAATGTTACATCATCCAGACAATTCCAAATGGTAGAAACATATTACAGTTACTGGGGCAAACATGCCATGCAAAAATTATATGCAATATTTATGAAGAGCTTCCCTGAACACTGTGTAATTGTGCCTGGTGGCAGCTATAATCAGAGTTCACATTAGAGTACAAGCACAGACGGAAAGGATTTCATATACTTGCCCCATACAGTACCTTTTACGACAAAGATTTCAGTCAGTATAGAGACTATTCTATGGGCTGGACTGCCATGGAATTGAGATTTTAATTCCCAGAAGGGACAAGAGATTTATCTGTTTTCCACGATACTCAGACCAGTTCTCACAGTGCTCCAATCCTCCTATCCTACAGTTATAGAGGGCTCTTTACCTGCAGGTAAGAGCAAGGCATGAAGCTGACCACTCATTTCCATCTAGGGCTGACATTAAGAATGTATGACACTACACTTTCACTCCCTGTGAGTTTTCATGGCATGGAGAATAACATGGCACAGGGGAAACTTGTAGACTTAATTTTCGATCTGTCAGTGCATTGATATAAATCTCTGACTTTGTAGTATATTCATAATTTTGTAGAACCAATTCATAAATGAGGGCTGTTTGGAAAATAACCTTCTTTATTTCAGGCAGCTAATGTATGAGTAAGGGACAGCTTCTACATGCAAGGTAGCATCACATGACTCATTTCCTTGTAAACCATCACATAACTGGTCAACTAGTGTCTGTTCTTGTCTCTACAGAGTTAGTCATGATGTGTTCTATGATTGATAATCATGTCAGCTGCGAAATTCACGCTGTTATCCGCTTTCTTCATGCTAAAAATGCGAGTGTTGCAGAAATCCATCGTAAATTATGTGTGGTTTATGGCCAAAATGTAATGAGTGAAAGAATTGTACGACAATGGTATAAAATGTTAAAAGATGGGCAAACAAATGTTCATGATGAAAAGCAAAGTGCTGCTCAGCCATGTGCAGTCAGTGATGATCATGTTCAGTGTTGACCAAAAAAAATCTGTGAAAGGCAGTGTTTTACAACTTCATGACTTTCATGTGAATTTCCACAAATTTCATGCATTGTTCTCTACAAGATTATCACAGTTAGGCTAGGCTGTCATAGGTTTTGCACAAGATAGGTTCTGAAAATGCTCAATGATGTGCGCTAAACACAGGGAATGACTTCCTTTCGCTTTGACATTTTTAGAGTGATACCACAAAGATGGCGATGAATTTCTCGATCACATCATATGAGTAACAAGTGATGAAACCTGGGTTTCATTTGTGAACATTAAAACCAAAAACCAGTCAAAGCAGTGGATAAACAAACATTAACTAAAAAAAACTTTAAAAAGTATAAACAAAAGGAACAATTTGTTGCACTGTTGATGGACTGTGTAGTACAATAAACAGTATTAAAAGTTAAAAGTATGGAAGTTTTTTAATGGAATCAAAGAACATGAACATGATTATATATGTCACTACAACCTCATCTGTGCTAAAGCAGCTGAGATTTGGAGAACTAAAAGGAAAATTAAACACAACTGACAATGGAACAAAATCCAGAGTGTGATTTCTGCACAGAACCTGCAGTACTATCACCTGAGCATGTCCATGCAGTCAGATATTTTAGATTCTGCAGTCAAACAAGAACCTGAAAATCTCTGGCTAAATAAATAAGAAGTCTCTCCTGTAGCCAAACAAGAAATCACCATTTACTGAAAACAAAAGGTCTCAAGAAACTGTATGGATAAAGAAATATATTTCAAAAGCTGAATGTTAAATGATACAAAATACAGTATCTTCTATTAAATACTACATACATGACATAATCTTTCATATAGCTGAATACAGGTACAGTTTCCTTTCTACAGTAATTAATTAATTTCTTTACATTTTGTATGAAACACAGTAAATTAATCTAAACATAATCTTGTTTCTAAAGCGTGAAATAAACACAAAGGCTGTCTGTCCATATATTCCAATCAAGAGAAATAAAATCCTTAATGATGACATTTACGGAAATGTCTTGCACAGAATAATATATCCCGCTAAAAGACAGGAGAGAGAGACGATAATTTCAACAAAAAAAAAAAAAAAAAAAAAAAAAAAAAAAAAACTCAGACGTTTCCCACAGCATGAGAATGAAAAGAAACACACTCATGAGGTAATATCAACCATCTGCAAGTGAACTGATGTGCAGTTATTAAAAGAAGTAACTGTATTTACTCATGTGATAAGCGGCCTCCGTAGTCTAGAGGTAACGTTCCCACCTCATGACTCGTAGTACGCGGGTTCAAATACCCGGCGGAGGTCGTCGAATTTTTAAGGGCGGAAAAATTCAGGGAACAAGTCCTCCAGGAGGGACTTTAAGCCGTGGGTCCCGTGTCGTAGCTTTACAGCATGTAAAAAGAACCTCATACCTCCAAAGGAGGTCAGTGAGCCAAAATTGTGGACGTTTCCCGCCCAACAGCAGTCACTAATACCTCTGGTAGATGGGAGAAGCATTATAGATACCTCTCAGCTAGTAGAGCCGGTCTCGCTGGCTGGGCAGGACTGATTGTAAGCACCAATACCGGTAGGATATAGAGACTGGTAGAAATCATAGAGGGAAGCACAATGGACCACTACAGGTCTAAGTGCATGGGGAAACCCACCCTCTCCAATAACTAACTAACTAACTACTCATGTGATGTCCCCCTTCACACAATGTCCCTCCTCCATTTTGAGAAGGAAACAGATTCTTTTTGCAACCTGTCGTTCTCTTCATGATGATGTATTCATTAATTTTTGCCACTATTCACACATTCATTTCATGTCTGCCGATTTAACTGCAATACATGCTAACATCTTCACTGTACTAGTATGACTTTTTGTGTAATAAGCCTGTCACCATTAACAATTACCCTTGCAGACAAGGTAGAAGGGAAAGTATTGTGACAGTCGTTTGCTCACATCCTGTCTACTGCATATACTACATGACAGGACTATATGATGCCATGTACTGATGAAGGTAATGTAGTAACTAGTCTTTCAGAAATGCCCACAAAAACAGACTGTCTAGATAACTAAATAACTGGAGCAAAGACTGCAGAATTTATAAAAGTGAAAGGAAAATGGTTTGTATGTAACAGAGAAATGAATGTCCTAAGTGTGAGGGTTTCTGTTATCAAGATCCCATTAAAAAAATCTGTGTATGCCCAATGGCTTCTTTAGTGTTAAAAATAGCAGAGGGGAACTGGGAACATTGTCAGTAAACACACATAAATAAAAAAAGGACAGGAAAGTTATGTGTATAAACACTATTTGACAATGAGAGATGAATTATAAATTAAGCACAGAAACAAAATTTTAAGTCCTCTGCAACCATAATGACCATACAGAGGGCTGCACCAGAGAATCTTCCCTCAGCCAGTAACATTCTCCAGTTTTCTCCCTTCCTATAAATAGCATAGAAAACATGGAAATTCATTTCTAAACTGTTTAGTTGGCAACAATGTCAATATTATAGTCTTCACCCACTGCAAGTACCAGAGGTGAAGGAACAGTCACTTCTGACACTACTGTACTTCTAAACTCAACTGTGCCACTGATACTAAATTTCACCAAGTGAACTGGCCCAAGCAGTAACACCTCTGACTTGTATTTGGGACATGCCCAGCTGAAATCCTGGTTGGCACACAGGCTGCCTTGACTGAGGGTTTTCACAGTTTTCCTCAGATCCCTCCAGGAAAATGCCAAGACAGTACCTCAAATTAGGAAGTGAGTGCAGCTTTCCACATCTTTCCCGATCCTATCATTCATTACTCATCCTACTTCTTGGCGCTGTACTGTCTGATGTACTAACAGCATCATTAGACAAACCCCAAACTAAATCAAAAAGATCCCAAGTCTTCAGCATCAAACCTAAATCTCTGTAACTTAATTCCTCTGGTGTAAAACTCATCCCATTCAATATATTCCAAATTAATTCTGAAAACAGGATCATCTTCCACTGCCATTATTCTATAATTAAAGGCTAAATAAAGCATCATCTTAGTTCAGAACAGAAAGGTTGATCTTACCAGCATAAGTACTGCATTTCATTTCTTAAAAGAAAACACACAAATGAAAAAGCCAAAAAAACAATTTCTTGTCACTGTGATCCGTTATTTGTTGGGTAGTACTGTATTTACACTGGTAATACTTTTGTCATTATAAAATGCAGTACTAACAAAGTAACAATATAAAATATGTAAAAGTGGAAAACACTATCAAAACTGGAGGGGTTGACAGGTATACAAGGTGGTATTGGAAAGTTTCCGGACTGTTACTGCTGTAACTACCTCACTGAAAGAAGATGAGAGGAGAGGCCAAGGTCACACTTCAACAAGCCTGTTGCATCAGTCTGCCATGTGACATCACACTGTGAACACCCACAGTTTTCACACGGGTGCTTTTTTTGACTTCGTGTTTCGTTTCGTATGCAATGGATGGCAAAATCAACATGTCTGCATCAAGTTTTGCATGAAGCTCGGTAAATCCGTGTATGCTTCCTGACGCTTTTGGAGAACACTCTTTAAGCTGGACAGCTGTTTCCGAATGGTATTAATGTTTCAAAGCTGGTCGAGTGTCAGTTGAAGATGACAAACATTCAGGGCAACCAAAGCACCAGTAAAATGATAGAAAATGTTGAAAAAATTCAAGATTGTTCACCATGAATTTGTTCCTCCTAACACTACAGCCAACTCTGACTTTTACTGTGACGTTTTGAGATGCCTGAGAGAAAATGTGTGACGAAAAAGACCAGAACTTTGGTGCAATCACAAGTGGCTCCTTTTCATCATAATAATGCACACGTCCCTGAAAACCACAGAATTAGGCCACACCACAGCTCAAGCAGTTAGTCGCTGGCTGCCCACCGTGGCGGCCTGTGTTTAATCCCGGGTCTGATCAAGTGGGATTTGTGGTGGACAAAGTGGCGCTAGGGCAGATTTTCTCCTGGTACTTCAGTTTCCCCGGCCAATCTTCATTCCAGCAAATTCTCCATCATCATAATCACCCGGGGCAGGTACAATAGGCCAATCAGTGGCCACCGTGCCAAGTGAACCCAGCCAGACTCCACCCCCCAGTAAGCGAAACCACAGAGTTTGTGACTAACAATAACATGGTTATCGTTCCCCATCCTCCCTACTCACCGGACTAAGCCCCCCATGATTTCATTTTATTTCATAAATTGAAAATGAAACTGAAGGGACCATGTCTGAAAGAGCGTCTGACATCCAAAAGGAACTGCAAGCAGTACTCGACAGCATTGGGCAAAATGACTTCCATGGTGTCTTTGAAGCATGGAAAAAGTGATGGGATTGCTGTACACGTTCCCAAGGAGACTATCTTGAAGTAGTTGGCAGCCAAAATTGAGTAAGTTAAGCTGACATTTCTTTCTTGACTTAGTCCGGGAACTTACTGATAGCACCTTGTACAAATGAACTTCATTTCCCAAGTTATATGAGTATGACAGAATGACTCAGGTTCTAGTGACATGGGAAACACTCATGCAGCAGTCCACAATACTGTGGAACAGGCCAGGAATCACTAAAATCTCTCTGGAGCAATGGACGGAATATGTAATACCCACACAAGTAATATCAAGTTAAGTACAGCTCAATGTAAATGCACAGAGTGAAGAAACACATCTTCACACACACAAAAAAAATTTGAAACATAAACAAATGTGATATTTTTTCAACCAGATCTCTTAATAGGGAGAAGTAAATAAACATTTAAATAAGATGGACACCTCACTATATTAACTGTGAACATTTGCTGAGCAAGAAAATCAGATTCACATGGTCTTTCCTTCAAGAGTCATTATAACAGAATACTATCCACTGAACCTCCTTTTTCCAGCCATTAACAACAGCAACCACACTACAATACAGCATTATAAATTTAAGTACACATTGGCACAAACTATAAACATGCAACAACTGCAATTTGCTTCACTCAGAATCAGAAGCTGTGCAGTTTTTACAGCACATTAGAACAAAGTATGTGCTATTTCAGAAGCAACATTGCAAACGTTTTGAGAATCTTCTCTATTAGACCAATATTTTTAATGTGATCACAATTTATAACAGTAGCCACTTTTTCACAGTATACTAAAGTGCATTACTTATCCCTTTTGATATCAGACTCATTTCAATGATGAAGTTTTGTAAGTCACTGTATTTAGAGAAAATAAGTAAATTCTAGGACCATTTCCTTTCCTACAATGACAGAAAGGGGGGGGAGAGAAAGAGGCAGATTTTGTTCACAAGTTGGTTCATGCTAGCACTGGCAACCACTGTCATTCTGAAGGAACTATTAGTTTCATGCTATTGTGCAAAGCAAAAGTAGTTATCTGAAAATTCTCAAAGGTTGAGATTGGAAAGTCAATGTCTGAATCAAAATTGAGATTTTTTCTCAATTCATCTAAAAAATCTGAGACTCATATATGACTCAATTAGAAAGTTGTAGACAAAACATGTACACCCATACAGTGTAACTACCTCTTCATCAAATGCCTAATGTAAAACAAAAAAAAAATTGCCATTTGCCAATATGAAGCAGGTACATTCACAAGAAACAGTACCTGTTACAGTATGTGGGAACACTGTCCAGTTTAACATCCTATGTTAAAAACATCTCATAAATCAGACTATCTGCAACACTTGATTACATTAGCAAACAATGTCTCTGAATCTAGAAACCTCTAATGAACCAAGTGTATAATCCACCTGTACTAAGTATATAGCTATGCTAATGGAAGGATTAAAAACGAGGAGGAAATGGATAATCCTGCTGCCATATCATTAAATTGTTTAAGGGACAGTATACTGTAAGATAAATAGTACATTACAAAATAAATACACACCCAGAGAGAAGTGAAAAATGTGAATATAAATTAAGGAGAGTTAAATAAACTAAAAGGCCACTTTAACAAATCACCATAGTTTCATTTTCTTTAAAATAATAATAATAATTTCACCACAACCAACACAATGAAAGTTCTAATACTATAATATGCAAAATATGCACCTTCTCCATAGCCAAAGCACCAGTGAAAAGTTATACTTTAACGACACAGAAACAAAAAATTACTTTCAAACCACAACCACCATATGGACAGAAGGCCCCTTATTTGAAACTGAAGTTGGGCAGCAAGAAGAACTGTTTGACAGAACACTTGCCTCGAGGTTTATACTTCAGGTGCTCCTCTATGAACTGACAGGGACAGCGGGCAGAGATGCAGTGGCGGGGGGGGGGCATGGAGAAGCCTCCACGCTCCGCACCATCCACTGACAGCTCCAGGTGCCTGCGTACAAACTCTTTAGCCCAGCGCTGTGAGTAGCGTAGGAAAACCATCTCAGCACGCTCCTGTGCAAAACAGACGACACCCACCACCTTAGTGGACGACAACAAGCATGCCACAAAGCAACAACAAGCCAACAATAATATACTGAGTATGAATTTCCAACGAGCCAATAGTGCATGCTGGGCAGTCAGTTGGTATTCTCTAAGGCATTGCATTAACTCGTTATTACACTGCAGCTACAATCTATATAATGACAGTTTAAANAGCTGTCCAGCCTGTAGCCCATTGAGATGGAATGTCTGTAACTACTTGAATAAATATGGTGATTACTATTTCCATCATTTTGTGATACAGACAAAAAGGATCATGAGGGTGTGGTCTGGATTAAAATGGCTCAGGGTAGGGAACAGTGGTCAATGTTCTGAACATGGTACTGAACCTGTGGGTTACCTAATAGACTATCAGCATCTCAACGATTCTTCCCCATGAAGTTGAATGAATGTACAAGGGGTGGGCCTTCTTGGCCTTTGCACCGCGACCACAGTGATCTATTGTGCCTCCCTTTCTGAGTATCCCCTCAACAATCCTGTGCTTCGAATGAAGCGTAGGATTTTGCACGTGGGGTCATCAAAATAGTCACTTGGTTCCATAAAATACTGACTAAAGTGACGCAATCTTAAATAAGCTTATGCCTCACATTTGCACAGGATATGTGTGGCTGTTCCCCATGGAGTTAGTTGGTTATTACTATACAGACTTCACTACAAGTATTTCTGAAGCATGATCATAATTTCTGCCCCCAAATTTTTCCTACATGAAATGGGTATTGCCAAGTAGGCAGGATGCAGTCTTTTATTTAAAACTTAGGAATCTGAGGGCTGAACAGCCTGGTATTTATTCTGATCATACACTATCTAGGAAAAGAATACCACATCTGCCCAGCACTGTCATTTGCAACAAGAGATGACAAGCAACACTGGCAAGTTGATTACAGATCCAATGCTTTCACTTGTTCACAGACAAAAAAAAAATAAGAAAGTATAGAATTATCTGAAGTGCATGAAAAATGTTAAACAGAGCCCTGAGAGGTATGAAAAATACATTTACATATAAGCACTTGCAAATATCTGCTAACTACAATACCGATGCTTGAGGGAATTAAAATTCACTGAGTAGCAATCAGTCTACCGTAACTAACTGTAAATTCCAACATTATATTAGCATTTAATAACAACAACATTAGTCATACATGAAGATGATTTCAGTGAAGATACAGAAAACTACTTGGTTATAGAAACACCACTACAACTAAGAAACAAATACTGTCAGCACCAACAAAGCCAAATGAAGGTCAGGCAAGTGATGTTAGATATGTCAGTTACTTAAGTGTATTTGATTGTGTGCCCCATTTTTAAACAAACAAATAACATATAAACAAGCAGTGAAATCCCAATTTCATTAATCTTTGGGGGAATGGTTTTTCTTGCCAACATTAAATCGAGGTTTTCACTAAATGGAGGTTATGCAAAATTATTTTCAGAAACTGTTCACCTTATAAGACTTATCACTGACAATTATTATAAAGTAATTTCTTTATATAAGTAGTTAAAAAGACTGTCTTACACAAATAAATGCAACTGCTTACTTAATCATATCAAACTGATTTTTAAAATAATTGATGACACATAAAATAAACACTGAAAAACGAAATAAAATATTTCTAAACAAATAAATACAATTACACAATTAACAATATCAAACAAAGTTCTCAAATAATTTTGACATATGAAATAAGCAAAGAAAAATAATGAACAGCAGTTGAGAATAAAAACAACTATGATGCCACAAATAGTGTGATTTCAGTGTGTAATCAATATGCATCATGAAGAAAGCAGTCTTCTGGGATTTGGCACCGTGTATATGTGGTGTTAACATCCATATGCACAGTGCCAAATCCCAGAAGACTGCTTTCTTCATAGTCACCGCTGTGAAAGCCTCAAATCTTACAATATGCATCATCATTCACCAAATAATATGGTTGTATGGTAACAACTAATTATGGCTGTGGTAATAGCTTCTGGCAGACATAAGACATAAAACATAAAAATCGAGAGTTGTTTCAACTATGATGGCACTAAATAAATGTATGAGTTGTGGAAGGTCAAAATTTCTTTACACTATGTGTGAGTTATTTACTTAATCAACATTCACAAAATATTGGAAAATAATATAATGTCTATATTGAATTTTAGATTTGACCAGAAAACATATTCAACAAATATGGGATTTCGCTGTATTATTACTCATACTAATTAATGAGTACTACCTACTTCCAGCTTATGTACAGAAAAGAATATACATACAGTGAAAAAAACATTCGTTTATTTCACTGTTTCTGCTTAGTATTAGTGCAGAGTTGCTGACATTTTGAACAAAAATACAAATCCTAGATACCTGGAAAGATCAGTAAGTGTCCAATGGCATTCAATAAATTTCATAATTATGTAATACTCAGACTATTAAGTTTGCCACTATGGCAAACTTGGTACCAACAAGTTCTTAATATGGTGAAACAAAGATATATTAACCAAGATGGAATGTATAGATCTATAATACAGGAAAGCCGGAATGTTAAAAAAAAAAAAAAGAGAGGGGTGATGTATATAGTTAATCAATTCCGCGTTCAATAAGCCATGAGGCACAGCAGGGGCAGAAGGCTCGATGGTCTGAACGTGGCTTGTTTTTTATATATTCCTCAATGTATTGACAGGGGCAAAGAGCTGAAGAAAGGTGTCGAGGGTCCATGGGGTTGCCACTCTCCTCATCTACAGTCCAATCCAGACGATGACGGAGGAAGTCCTTGGCCCAGCGCTGAATGTAACGAGTCAGTAACTGCTCTCCTCTTGCCTGTGACCCAACATAAGGCCATGCAAACCAAAAATAGAAACACCAAAAGAGAGAAAAGAAAACTGCTTCAACATTTCAGACTTTCCAAATTACTGACAAAAATGAAAATAATAACAGTCATAACCAAAATATTTATGGTTTTTGTCACTGAAATGACAATATAAATAAAACGCTTGGATATATAAAGTTTTACAATAGTACACAGAGCTTGGACAGCTTAGTTGGAATACTGACTAGGCTACAGGCTGGATGACTGAGGAATCAGGATGTGATTCCCAACAGAGGCAAGAGATTGTTCTCTTTCATTAGCATCCACACTAACTCTGGGGCTCTACCAGTCTCCTATACAATGGATACCACAGTCTATTTTCCTTGAAGTCAAGTGGCATAGGTGTGAAGTTGACCTCCACCTAGTGCCAAGATTAAGAATAGTGGAGCCATACCTCCACTCCTCCACGTCTTTATGGCAAGATACTTAATTAAGCAGATGGATAAATTCACCTTTTTTACCTCTCACAATGGTATGACTTAAAGCATACAGTACCAGTTTTAACATTGCAATATTTCTTCCTGCTTCACAGAAATAGCTAAAAACTACAATTCTGCAATGAAACACATACACATAAACACACATTGAAACAGAAAAAAAAACCCTCCACATTACACATTAATTGTGTATACTTCAGGCACAGAACATAGGAAAATTGAAAAAAAGAACAAAGTCATCATCTCTGCTGAAGATACAAAATGCAAAGTTCACTACTCCTCAGTTCAAATATGCCATGTGAAGTATTGACATATGGGACGTTTCTATGGAAACAAACAGGCAAACACACTGCCATGGAGAAACTTATTCCTGAAAACCAACTAAATACAAAACATGGTTTCCACAGATATGGACACCGAAAGTTGTAAACACACAGAAAAGCAAACTGTTGTTTAGGAATAAACACATGGTTGCAGAGCCAGCACGTTCATGAAGAACAGTAATGGAACCCTTGGAGGTGGTGATCACAATTAGGTCCTCTGGTAGTATTAAGAGGCAGTGCATTTCGTGAATTCGGGAGATCTGAGATTCAGAGGTAGCAGAGATCAATCCAAGATTAGTGAGAGACTAGTGAGAGATTCTTCACAAAGGTTCTTCATACACTATTTGGAAGGAGTTCAATGTGTGAACAATAATCAACTATAACTGTAAAGATGTGCTAATAAACCCAATCATGAAACCCACAACTCACTGTTATTAGTCACACTAACCATGTATACATGGCAATATTGTTGATTTTCTTTTTAACAAATAACCAGGTGCAGCTAGAAAGGTGTGTGTTCTGATTACAATAGCCACAAAAACCTTGAAGAAAAGCAGATAAGTCACTCTTTAATATTATTCTAATGATATTAAAAATATTTCAGTTAATACTAATACCACAGTTCTGAAATCAGCACTCAAATCTGCAGGTATCAGACTGTTAAAGCTGAAATGGACAGTCCAGGTTCTCTTGGAAACTGAAGCAGTGTATGAAGACAATAATTCAGAAGTGTGGGCTATAAAGATCTCTGAACTAATAAGTCGAAGAAATGCATGAAAGAAAACAACATGGAAGCACAAAATTTTATAACTGCCAAGTGCAGTATAAATGAGAGATGCCGGGAATTCAGAATCATAGTTTAAACACTAGTTTGAAATATAACCTTAAAAAATATGACATGCTTCATCAGTGCACAATTTATCATTACAATAACAAATTTTTTAAATTCATGATTTGTTTATTCCGTCTTGCAGTGCGTACACTTATCTATCTTCTTCTCTCACTCTCACTACATGTTTCGGCATAAAAATGCCATCTTCAGGTGCTACTCAATTCACGTCAAACTAGTACATTGTATGCCTTGTCTTCACTTTAAAATAACTAAAATATATGTCCATCATATATATTGACAAATGTCAATCGTAAAAATATTAAAACTGTTCAGGNTTGACGTGAATTGAGTAGCACCTGAAGATGGCATTTTTATGCCGAAACATGTAGTGAGAGTGAGAGAAGAAGATAGATAAGTGTACGCACTGCAAGACGGAATAAACAAATCATGAACTTAAATCAGTGCAACAGGACGCTAAAATATAACAAATTTTTTAAAGTTAATCCAACAATCA